TGACACGAGATCATACAAAGTCAGTGGGTTGTCATCGCCCGTACTGTGGGCAGTGGCATGAGGAGCGAATTGAAGGGAGAATGACGCGGACTGACGGTGCCTTGAGCTTTAGCGGACTCTTGAGTTTGGTCCGAGGCGCGTCGTTCTCCTTGTCCGCGGAGGGTAGGGCGGGAGGATCGGGCGGGACAGGCTGGTCTGTGACGAGATGGGTGATGGTGTCTGAGAAGGAGCCCTCAATGGACTAGGACGGTGTGAGTGGTGAGTAGCACGGCTGAGGAATGGCGACGCACGCCGCCGAGTTTGTATATCCTGGCATGAGCGAGCTTGATGGCGGACAGATTGTCGGGATGAATGTTGTCGGTGTCGAAGTAGAACCGCCAGCCAGGGAACGCGCGGCGGTACTTTGTGCGGAACTCGAGGCGCTGCTGGTCGCGCTCGGCGCGGCGAGCCTTGTCTCTGTCGAGGTCCTTGTCGCGGTGAGGGCCAGCTGAGGCGGCTGCTTTTAGGCGCTTTGGAACGACCTCGAGAGGCTGATCTGGTGAGCGGGGTCGCTTTGAGCCGGAGAGGGAGCGGGCCTGCTTGAGGGGGGGATGTGTGGTGCGGCGGAGGGTGGCCATGGCGGGACAAGAAACGCGGGCAGGGTGAAAGCAAACAAGAAGGTCACCTGATGAGTGACTGATCAGGTGACCGTACGGAAACTCCCTCCTCCGCCATGAACAATAAACCCCGACGAAGCGCGATCCCGACTCCTGGCCGCTCGCGTTCCACCTCCAGCGCAGCAGGTCCCGTCGCCGTCCCTGATGTCGAGTACATGTCCCGCGCGTTTGCAGACGCAATAAAGGCAAACGATCCTGCTCTCCATCGCACATCCCGCACCAGCGACTTTTCCTCCGCATCCCTTTCCCCCCAGTCCACCTCGTTTGGCCCGCGCTCCTCGTCAGTCGCGTCTTCGTCTTCCTTCAAGCCCCCGGAACGCGCAAAGACACCCACCACTCGCCCGGGCAGCCGCCAATCAGATGTGTTTGGCCGGAGTAGCAGTCGTACCGGTCCCCGCGCGTTCGAGGTCGACGACAATGTCAGAATCGAGTCGTTGGGGCACGTATTCCAGCTCCTTTCGCGTTCTGGGCTGATGCGTTCTTTTCTTTCAGCTTCGAAGGCGTGCTACGTTTTCTCGGCGCCATTGAGAATAAACCGGGACTCTGGGCCGGCGTTGAACTCAGCGGTGGCTTTGCAGGGAAAGGGAAGAACAATGGCAGCGTGAACGGGTCGGTCGTCGTTTGGCATTTCCGTATTCAAAATCTCATCTACACATCAGAAAGCAGTATTTCTCATGTGCGCCGAATTGCGGGGTGTTCGTCGCGACCACAAAGCTCTCTGCTCCTACGGTTGGCCCTGGTGCTCGACCATCGTCGGTAGCCTCGGTATCCTCGTCTCGAGGGGGTCGCACGACGCCCTCTGTATCGGGCAGAATTACGCCATCAACATCTGGCATGTCGTTCAGTACAAGCTCGCGCATGACGCCCTCTGCGTCCACCTCGCGCATCTCAACCGGGCGCACGACGCCCTCAAACGGGGGTCGCATAACCCCGTCGTACGCTGGGCGCGCGACACCCGGAACAACACCAGCTGCACGCGCCCGGACGCGAGTTCTCGCCAAGCCCGCTGCTGCCGCTAGTCCCGCCGCAGCACTGACCGGGAAACTGACCGCTGGATCGCGAGCATCCAAGTATGTCTCCATGACCGCCAAGCAGCTTAGTTCCCGCGATGCTGCCGCATCTACGCCAACCCGGCGTCTGGAGCCGCCTGCCAGTCCCGCTCGCTCAACCCTGCCATCCCCCTCACTCAGCTCCCGTTCCACCTCATCACCGACCCGCCCTCCGGCTTCACCCTTCAGCACACCGAAACCCAGCCTGGGTGGTCGTGTCTCCGCAGGCTCTTCCGCAATGGGACGGCCGTCCATAAGTACGCCCCGTGCGCGGATTCCAAGCGCCGTCGCCATGCCTCCGCCTGCCTCGCCCATGACCCGTTCCATCTCCGCCAACGAGGAACCTGTTTCCCTTTCGGCGTGGACTTCACCTCGCCCGGAATCCGCGTCTTCAAGCCGGTCCTTGCTCAACGACCAACTGCAATCACGGATCCAAGCACTCGAATATGAGAACGAGCGGCTGCGAGCCGCCTCGGTTCCCCCGGATGTCGATCGGGAAGCGACTACCCAATTAACTGCGCTCCAACTTGAATACGAAGAGGCTCGAACTCGCGCATCGGAGCTTGAGGTCAAACTTGGAGTCGCCGAACAATCTCTTGAGGAACGAGCGATCCATATCCAGGAACTGGAAGATGCTCGCAAACAGGTACTCACCAGTCTTGACGAGGAGAAGGCGCAGGGCGAGACTCGCTTGCAAACACTGGAGCAAAAACTCGAAGCAAAGTCAAGCTTTAGCGACGACGTTGAAAGAGGCAATCGACGCCAAGGAGAGCGCAGAGCGCGAGGGTGAAGGGAAATTGAAAGCGAAGCAGGCCGAAATAGCTTCTTTGGAACTGCGGCTGATGCGAACCCGAGCCGAGCTCGACGAAGACCGATTAGAGCTCAACGGTCAAGTAGATGAGCTACGACAGGCTGGCCAGGTCAGCATTTATTCTATTTAATATGTCCTCCCCATCTAATTGGATGGCACAGGAAACCATCGCTCTTTACGAGGAGCGCCTTAGCGCAGCCGATCGGGAAAGGTACGAGTTGGAGGCTCGCATCGCCTCACTCGAGGCAGGGGTTCGTGCGACGGAGCGGACCCCTTCACCAACGGTCACGGACAAGGTGGCTTCGTCTGCTACCGAGATTGACAATGAGACGCTCCGCGATCAGGTTGTCCATCTGACCAAGAAGGTGGCCAAATTGGAGGACGCTCTCGAAGACGCCCATGCGACATCCGAAAGGGACGAGGCTGCGCTTGCGGACCGGATGCGGCGGCTGAAGGAGAAGGAGGAGGCGATGAAGAAGGAGTTGGGCGAAGGTCGCAAGGAGGTGGAGCGGATGATAAAGTCGGAGGCCAATGCTCGGAGACGCGTGGAGGAGGTAGAGGAGGCCCTTCAAGAGAGCACTGTTGCGTTGGAGGATGCCAGAGCGGAGGTTGAAGGGCTGCGTGCCGAGCTGACGGTGAGAATATATCACCTTGTTGAATCCCTTGGCTGACGGCGCTTAGAACCTGGACGGTTTGGTTGCAGGCGACGGCGAGTCCGGCGACCTCTCCTCGCGGGTGGCTGAAGTCGCCAACCGTGCCGCTACTGACCGGGTGCGGTTTACCGAGGAAATTGCCAAGCTACAAGATCTGCTGGAAGAGTCTCGAAGAGGCGAGTCAGAGGCAGCGGAGGAAGCGGACAGATTGCGTGAAGCAGTGGCCGCTCAAGCTGCAGAGGTTGAATCTCTGAAGAAGAAGACCAATCGTGACGTCGCCCTCAATAACGGCATTCAATCCCCCACTGTGTCGAAACACGATCTATCTGCTGCGAAAGAGGAGATTACCGGTCTCAAGTTGGTATTCGCTCTTCTGTCTGCGTTCTGTGTGGCTCATCCAGAGCAGGCACATTGTGCAAGAGCTCCAGAAAGAGAGTCTTGCGGCCACTCAACGAACGAAACTCCTGGAGTCGGAAAACCAGCTCCTTCTTTCCGAGACTGAGCAGTTGCGGCAGGTAAGGAGGTGTGTTATTTTTGGGGGGTTCTTTTTTTGAGGCGTTACCACAGGAGGTCCAAATACTCGAGGAAAACCTTGACAACAGCCTGGTCCACGAGGAGAAGGCGTTGGATGAAGGGACACTCGGAGACACGACACGTATGAGGGTCAAGCTGGAGGTGCGGCTCACACGCAATTCGTTGTGTTCATTAAACTGATCTTTCTAGGCCGAGATTGAGCAACTGCGAAAGCGGTTGTCAGACTCTGAGATGAAGAGCGCTCGCGTGACGCATGATGTATGTTGCCTTGAATGTACTTTGGAGAAGTCTGACACTGCGCGCGCAGTTGAACAAGGAAATCAGCGAGCTCGAGGCACTGATCGAGTCAAAGGTGGGGTCTTTGGTGTTCTCTTGGTGACATTACCAACGTGCAGACAGATTTACCGCGAGGACGAGCTTGAGCAAGAGCTTGAACGGACGAAAGATAAGCTGGCACGTCAGCGTAAATCGTCCAAAGGAAGCAGTGAAGTGTCCGACACACGACGACGGCCCGCGAGCATCGCCAGCTCCGAGGTGTCAGATACCGAAGGTGTTTGCGAAATATGCGAAAAGCCAGGCCATGATATCTTTTCGTGTTCGCTTTTGGGAGCAGGGACGCCGGTGAGTCGTGTATCGTGCGTCTATTTCCCTCATCTCACTGGCTTTTCTAGGACGGCGCGTCGTCTGACACAGAAATATTTTGCGAGGACTGCGAGAGTCATGGCCACGTTGCGGCCGACTGCCCACATTCACTTGATGTCTTTTAATGTTAGTTTAAATGTTAGGATTAGTTATAACGTTATATACCAGTTGGAGAGGATGACATTGTACTTCAGATCATGCTGGCTCAATCGCTTGAAGGATACCTCACTCCTGAAACGGATTACAGGGCAAGCTTTTGTTTCCTACCAAGACATCAACCAGCATCAAAAGTGCAAGTCACCCCCCTCAACCAGTTCTTGTCCGTTCGGCGTGAAATTCCGACCTCGGAATGCGGTGACGTGCCTCTATCGTATATACGGTTCAGAAAGTCGCAGTTTGTCTCGGGAGTTCAGTCGTATGATCAGTTGATGGGAAGCATCAACGCCGCCGTAATTCCTTTTTCTCGCTCATTTCCCATCCAAATCGCTTGGAAGTTGAAGGAGGCTATGCTCCGGATACAGGGCTTTGCGCTGCGCAGCCTTTTGGACGTTTCCAGCCCCGAAAACGCGAAACAGATCGAAAAACATCAAATTTCATCTGTTAATCATCGGAAACCGTCCAAAACGCTCGCGGAATGCTCCAGGATGCAAAAGAACTGCCCCCGAGAGGTTTGAACTCTCGATCTCACGATCAACATGGGTAGTTAACAGTCGTGCGCCTTAACCAGCTGGGCCAGGGGGCATACAGGTCAATATGGCCAATACAGTATGAAGCGCGGGAAGTTCGCACTTCGATTCGGTTGAAGTCGCAAGATCTTGGGTTTCAACCTCAACAAACCATCTTTTTAAGTAGTAGTCACAGTACATTTGGATGTGAAAGCATACAGTTACATCTCAGAACTAGTTGCTAGTGTGTCCTAGGTATCAATTATCATCAAGCCCACCAAACTAATCGCCGCCATCTCAATGTTCGTATTGTCGTCCACATCCATCTCAACCACCGATGTCTTGAGCCGTTGATTCTGGAGGTGCACTGGTTGGGAGATACAAGTTTTTTATCACCATTTTCAGTGAAAACTGTGGGTTATTTTTCAGCAATTTTCCACTGAAAAAGTTGGTGAAGAATTCAAAACATCTTCACCGTTTTCTAGCTTTCTTTCAAATTTTTCACCTTGTGCTGGAAAAGCAGTGAAAATGTTTTGAATTTTTCACCTTTGTTTGTCCAGAAAAATTGCTGAAGAATCACCCACAGTTTTCACCGTAAATAGCAGTGAAAAACTTGGATCTCCCAACCAGTGGTGTTCACTCTTCACTCGAAGACCTGGCTGCACTTTAACCTTCTGCTTCCCTTTCTTCTTCTTCGCATCAGTTGTCGCCTTGTTCGTACCAGCTCGCACCACAATCTCTGCTCCAGTAGGCTCCCGCTCCAATTCCTTTCTCAGTTCTTTACGCGCAGTGGTGCAGCGTGTCTGCTGTGCCTTTCTGCATTCCAACATTTGGATTTCGATGTGCATCTCTCGCATGGGACAGGAGTTTCTGGTGAGCCTCCGAAAGATTGGGATGCCACAGGCACGGTGGTCGCCGACAAAGCTTGAAACACAACATAAACATCCTTCAATAGAGCACGGACAAACACATACCTTGAATTATGATTCACATTGATAAGGATTGCATGTCCACAGAACGCCAAAAGTCCAACCGACTCATTCTTCTCATGTTGCTGGATATACTGAACGGTGTAAGGGGATACCCAGCTGTGTGCTCACTCAGCCCATTATGAGCACAGCTGAGTCACTGGCCCGGTTGTTGTACCGGGCTCCGAGTGTCATTGTCCCTTACTCCTCTTGTAGTATATAGTTCGAGTCTGGGGATCTGGATCCCCGGCTTTGTTATCAACTTGGCTCCTGGGCACCCTTCCCCTCACAAACAGTATCTTTTCGCCAGTCGTCTTCGGACGCGACAGTGAACACCACCGCATTGGGAGGACTGTAGTCAGGGTTGGGGTGAGTGGTACTGAACGGCGCCCAGGTCAAAGACCAGACAGCCTTGTCCTCGCGGTCCCTATAAAGATAGGTTCGCATCGGACATCGGTTAGCATCTTTGACCAGGCTCAGAGGGGAATTTGACCCTGCACAAAATGGAGATCAACAAAACAGAACAGAGATAAAGTCTGTCTGAATTACTTACCAATAGGCCCCAGTTGTGTTCCTTGCAGATACCGCACCAACAGATTGACTGAACTTCCCCGAAGAGAGACCAGCTCATCCCATTCCTCACTCGTGAGTTGGGGTAAGGGTTTCAGGCTCAACCGTTCCAAACGAGTCACACCGGAGGCAAACACTGTGGAAGGTGACCTGCACCTTCCGGCTGGGAAGGCATCAGGAAGGTTGCATTCAATAGTGTGTGATGCTTCTGTCTCTTCTTCTTGCCTATGAACCGGTTATCGAATTCCAAGTCGTAGTTAGCATGAAGTGCCTCACGCATGGCATCCCTTTAAGAGATAGTTTGTCAGTAAGCCAACTCAGAGCTATTGGATATGCACTTTTCCATTGCAAGACGACCTTTGACCTGGTTGACTCCCCAAAGACCTAGAACATTGAAACAGGCAGATGCACCTGACAGTGAAATAGCCTAGCTGAAGCTTAGGTCTATGCTCATAGCAAAACACTAACACAAAACTAACCACACAACTAACACACAAACACCTTTATACTCCCCAAGACTGGTGTGTCTCCTTGGTTGAGTTGGGGTCTGGGCTGTAATATGCAAGCACTGGTTTGAGTCCACTACATGTATGCAACAACAATTCTTGATTATGTTCAACTATGTGGCCGTATATCAATATGCCTAAGGCCTTCTTAGCTGCTACTCCTTGACTGAAGCTAACACTTTTAAGGGTGCTAGGGAACAGGGGGGGGGGTATTTGAAGGTAATGTGTGGGATACTGGGGTACGAGTAGCTTGCTCTAACTAGCAAGGGCTCTGTGCTGTCCTAGGCAGAGAGTTCAACACTTCTACTGGTCACGTCCTACCCCCATTGGCTATGCAAAGCAAGTTAAGCAAGATTGGTGGGCAGTTGTCGTTGCTGGCTCTTCACTGCAGTGTTAACCACAATGGACTTGTACTCCAAGAACACAAGGTCGTTTCTGTACACTTTCATATTTGAGGGCTCAAGTGCAACTGCACAAAGTACAATGTGTTCTGCCAATTCCGTCCTCTACAAGGTAGTGTACCCAAGAAAGCCCTAGCTTATTTTCTAGGCGGTTTAATAGCATACTCCCGGCAGGACAACCATGTCAGCCACTGCTACTCTCGAGTCTTCCTATTTGGTGTGTTCAGCCCTGTTTTGGATGTGGAAGTTCTAACCGCCGAACTTCCCAATGCGCTACTCTCACTTGCTAGGCTTCTTAGACTTAAGTTTTTCACACTAAAGCTGATATTCCAACAAACAACAATCGTGATTTATTGTCATGATCCACCCTTTTTTCCACCTTTTTCACCCACCTTCCTACCCGGGTTAATGTCCTATTAACCCGACTCGAACCTCGCCCCTCGCGGATTAATAACCCGAGAACAACCCGGACCTCCTGGATGCGATCACCAAGGCAGGTACAACCCCTTACCATATTCATATGCCTTGACATCGCACCCCTCCCCGTCCATCTCCTACACCTCCTCTACTTCACCCCTGCATCTATCCTGTCACATTAACCCTGCAATTAACCCTGCGGTTACTGCCCCTGAATACCTATTTTACTATAAAAACCCTAGGATAGTGCTCTGTATTCTTTACACTATTCTAGTCTATTCTCCAGAGCCTACTCGACCACACCTTGCCTTTCTTTCTTGTATTGCCCAGCCGCCCACATCGCAACCGACTTGCTAGTGAGGCCCTGTGCTGACATTTATGTAGACACTAATACAGGATGAAACTGGTATGTTTTCTATCCGCTAGCTGCCTGAGCACACCCACACCTAGGGTGTAAAGCTGTAGTGATACGGGGATGAACTGGCTAAAAGCGGTATTTACTACGTCCTTTTATACTACTTGGATCCAGAAATATGAGATAAGATAATATGAGTAAAAGATCTGTGTTCTGTCATGCAGCACCCTCGGCCTAGGTGCTGGTTCAATTCGTATGATCCGCCATCCAGAACGGTCAGTGTCGCTAATGCTCCTAGTGCCTTTTGATATGGGTTTTCTTGGTGGCTCCACGGAACCTCTGCTATTGGCTGAGTACACTGCGTGCACCTCTGCCGTGCTGTCTAGCTGAGTCCTCCTCGTGACATAACCTGGCTAGGTTGGTTACTGCTCGGCCTAAAGGACCGGAACCTCTGCATTGGTACTTTCCGAGAAAACACATCGATATGTAGTGCTGTTTGGTTGCCTAGGTTGAGGCGTGTCGGTCACGTGCCTCTACTAAAACCCGTTTAACTAGTTGTGCCCTGTCTCCACTAGGTATACTGAGATATCCCTAGGAGGTAAGAGACGTTGTGTAGGCCTTTCTAATCACTGTCTCCCTGCTCGATACTGCTTCCCCTAGTTTGTGACTTTCAATATGTGAACTCCTAGGCAAGGTGTTGTATCCTGCTTGGTATAATGCTCGTTCCCTGTAACGCTTGTAACTGCGCCTAGCAGGTTGTGTTCATTTACAGTCAGCAGTTGGAGCTCACTTTGACTCTCCTGATACCACCGGACAGAGGCTAGGTACCTTAGAAGGTATCTAAAGCCAATCCCATAAAGCTAGGTGTTATATCTGTGATCACCAAGGCCTTCCGCAGCCTTCCGCCAGTCCGATTCACTCCGCTCCGCTCCGCCGTTGGCGGAGGGCGGCGGAGGGTCATCTCAACAAGTCAACACCAAGTCAAACATTGTGGAGCAACCCTACGCCCTCAACCCTGGTTCCTGACATATCCACAAGGTCGTTTCACTTATCCGTGACAACCATCAGATAAGTCCTGTGGTTAAGTCCACGTGTCGGGATAACCCTGGGTTATCCACATGGTTTCTATTCTTCCTTTTGATTTATTATTAGATAAGTCTAAAACTATATAAACCCCATTGTATATCCTGTATTCTTCAGTTTGATAATAAACATTTCTTTGCTACTCCCTCTGCAAAGAGCTCCGCACACTCCGACCTCTTCGGCACACTTGCGGAAGTCGACCTTCCCCACCCTACTGCCTCTGTCCGTCAATACCGTGCAGTAAGACTCGCGCAGCCCCTCTGTCGTATAGTCTCATCCTCTCGCTCAGTCCGCTCCGCTCCGCCTCCGCTCTGGTGCTGTTGCGGACCTGGAACCTCTGGTCGATTGGCCCCATATCCCCCGCTTGGATATAACACTAGGCCACTAGAGAACTAGCGCTTAAAATCGCAAGATGTAGCCAGATAGCAGTACATTGGTATGGCGCTGTCTCAGCATCATTCTGTTTGATATCTATAACATGTTGGGCTATCTCGGTAGGATGCAGAGATTTTGCAGCTTTTCGGACAGAGGGAATACTGAGTCCCTTTCGAAGTTTGTTAAGTGTGGTTTTTCTAGTGATAGGTCAGTTTCATAGAGCATAGAGCATACCAACACAACACTGACTTGATATTGAGCCCAAATTCCGACTGCGGGCTCTGACTCAATCCTGCACCACTGTTCTCACGAACATTGTTGGAGTTACAACTGCTGTTGCACGCACTGCCTACTTCAACAGCTCGGTTCAACACCTTTTTAACAGCTCACCATTTGTGTAGT